GAGCCAGGTCTCTGGAGGAAGACCTGGGGACAGTGAGCGTTTAGCCAGGAAGCTCTGGGGGCAGAGCACTCCCGGAGAGGAAAGAGCCAGTGCAAAGGTCTGAGGCAGGAGCGTGCCCTGGAGGGTTAGAGGAGCAGTAAGTAGGGCTGGAATGGAGAGAAGGGGCAGAGAAGTAGGAGACAAGTTCAGAAAGGTCACTGGAGCCAGAAGAAGGGTGTTTTAGGACACAGAAAGGACTTCGGCTTATGCGCCAAGCACTCAGAAGGTCATGAGCAGGAGAGTGAACTGTCTATAAAGTGAGGGGGTTGAATTTGGTGGCCTCGGAGGCCCTTTCCAGTTAGTCCACCTACAACACGAGGTCTCTGGGATCGAGGCACCTGCCGTCAGTGTTAGGGTCGCATAGGGAATGCGGAATGTGTACCTCTGTGGGGGTGGGGAGGGGAGTCCCAGCTGAGATCTCCACTTTTCTGGAACACTGAGAATATGTTTGGACCAGGTCACACTTAAAGCCCCATCTAGCCCTGAGATTTATGAACTTCTCGAAGTGCCCCCCTCGGCGAATTTCCACTTGGCAGCCCTCGGCTGTCTGAGCAGGTTTCCACTTGGGAATGTGTGACAGGGCTGCTTGTAGAGCTACTTGCCAGCGCTGCCTCAAAGGGGTGGCCAAAACGCGACCTGCTCAGGGGCCCCAGGACAGGTCGCAGCCCGTCCAGACAGTGCCCCTCTGGGCCTGCTGGTCTCCATCTTCAGGGGGTTTCCAGCCCTGAGGTGGCTATCTGGGGGTGTCAGCAGTCCTCCCCTCAGGGCAGGAAGTGTTGCTAACAGGGACAGAGAAGTGAGTTGTCAGGGTGCCCGGAGCTGAGGTTCAGAGGCTGGGCGAGAACCAGCACCTCCCAGCCTCTGTCCCTTGGTGTCCGTGTTGGGGAGGTCAGGCCAGGGCGGCCACCAGGAGCCTGAGGGGAATCCTGTGGTCCCGAGTCAGCCACACAGAGACTGCCTGTTGCGGCCTTGCGTTGGGCCCATCGGAGACTCTGGAGGCCAGGGAACAAGAGCCCTGCTGAGCCCGTGCTGCCGGCTCCTGGCTCATCCCTGCCCTGGGACCAGAAGTGCCTTTGTCCTGCCATTCCCCTCCGACACCAGCCAGCACTCCTCAAAGGCCTCATCAGCCTGCCATGCCCAGCTGAGTCCTCTGCAGTGTCACTGGCAGGCCTGACATCACAGCCTGGGTGAGTCGCTGGGGGTAAGTGAGAGGGTCCCGGCTGAGGAAGGGCAGGCTGTGGCAGGAGCAGCCCCACACCGGTTCCCAGCCGCGCAGCTGCCCACCTCTGCCCACTTCCCGAACGACACGGGAGGCTGTGGCTGGCGCCTCAGGCCCAGGGCCATGCCCTGAAAACAGTCCCTCTCACCTAGGGCAACTTCTAGGGGCTGCTGCCACTCTGTCCAGTCTCAGGGGACTCCCAGCTCCTTGGGCAGGAAATATCAGGACGAAGGCCCAATTGGGCTGGAGGCTGAAGATGCAGCTGAGTACAGGCTTGGGGGACCCCACAGATGCCCCTGAATGTCTCCCTGAGCTGCCAGCCCAGGATCTTGGTGGGGAGGGAGGACTCTGATTCTGCTGTCTCCAGTCCCGGTTGTACCCTCCTGGCTCCTGGCAACCTTTTTGGCACCCTGGGCTGCCTGCAGGGTGCTGGCTGCAGCATCGAGCCCTGGAGGGAGGGGCCCGTGTGGGGACAGTGGCTTGCTGGGCTGCCACTCACAGTTTCCCCTTCCTCAGGTGCCAGGTGGAGGTCAGAGAATTTCCTCTGGTTCTCACATGGATCCCTTGCCCCACCCCTCCCTGACAGGCAGGCACGAGGTGAGGGCTCCCTTGCCAGCCCCTCGCCCGCCCCTTCCTGCACACAGGCTCCGCGGAGGTGTGGAGGGAGGGAGTGTCACCCTTTCCATCCAGGCCCTGGACGAGCAGCACTTCACAGCTCTCTTGCACTTGTGGGCACAGCCAGCAGCTCCTGCCATGGACAGGTGGTACCTAGGTGAGTCCCCTGAGCCCCGTCCCTCCTTCCCCTTCTCAGGCTGAAATGGGTGTCCACTCCATCACTTTCAGTGCACCCACCTGCTCCCCAGAAGTTCAGGACAAGCAGAAATGAGGAGAGGCAGAAGTTCCAGACCTGGGCTTCTCTATAGACTCCTGCGCTTGTTGTGATAGGTGTGCAGAGCATCTCTGAGCTGCAAGGGCTGGGAAGACAGCTGTCCACAGCCTCCTAATCCGTCTGTCTGTCTATCCATCCAGCTACAGGAACTTTGAAGCCAGACTGCTGGCTTCAAATCTTGGCTCCCCTACTGCCTAGCTGCCTGGCCTCTGGCAAGGTATTTAACTTCTCTGTGCCTCAGTTTCTTCCTCTATAAAACGGAGGTGATAATAACACCATCCTT